ATGATCGAGGTGGATCGATGTTCCATAATCTGAAAAAAGGTTTCTCTGTTCGCTTTGTCCAAGACCAATTTCCAGGTGGATGAAGGAGGAACAACCGCGGCGGCCGCCACAATTTTCTTTGGGATTCCAGTTTCACTTCGAATTGGAGGACCACAACCGGTGACATTCCGAGCTGATCATCCATTTTTGTTCATCCTTACAAAAGATAACAATCCTTTGTTCATGGGTCAATTTGTGTGAAAGATTCAATCACATTCCAAAATAAATTATGAGTTCACTGTCGATAGAGTAGTGATATGCTTCTTTGCTAATGGTGGTGAGTTGGGACGTGGGGGAGAGCGTTTGACTCACTACTTGTGCAAAGCTAGATATACCGTAATGGCAATGAATACTTTTGTCCAGTCCTAAAAGTGGGAAGCAGCTGCAGCTTGGGTAGACGTACTTGTAACACGATAGTTACATACTAGCCGGCTTCGCCGGCTGACGCCGGCGCGCCTCTTTCTGTGATACAGCACGGCTTCGCCGGGCAGGCGCGGCTCCGCCGCGCTTACCTTTTTTCACACATTTCAGTACCTACCTAGTCTCCGGCTTTTCTTTCATCTGAACGGATGATCAACATTATTTCACCAATAGCACCATACCTGCTATTTTCAACACATTTACGGAGCATGAAATGGTGGAAAGTTGATCAAGTGGAGAGATGAGAGGAAAGCCGAGTATTGGTCCAGCATTTGACCTACGAATGCAGTAGGCGCGACGGAGCCACGCCCGAAAGGCCGGGCTGTATCACAGAGGAGGTCTGGAGGGCCTGGTGTGCTCTGGAACCGCTTGAGGAATTTCTAACACTGGCTCCACTTTCCTCAACGCACGCTCAACGTATGCCCCGCGCTTCTCAACAACCCCTCGCTGATCTTAAACACTTTTTCCCGGTGTCTGGAGTGCTCTGGAACCGTTTTGCGAATTCTTCCCAAATTTGGCTCCGCCCACCTCGGTGCAGGCTCCGCCCACAACGGGAGTGCCTCGCACATCCTTACATTTGATCACTTGGGGACCATAATCCACATTTTTGGCACCTTCTGCAGTGCTTTAGGACCAAACTACGACTTTTTATACTGTTCCTCGTGCTCAAATGCACGCCCCGCCCACTGTAGGCGGGCCTCAGCACGCCGTAAACATGGTGGACTCTTGCCAGACGTTAATCTTCGTCATGGACTTTTCTGCGATCCCTAAACATTTTCGGGGACCGAGTTACCGACCTTTGTGGGAAGCGCCGCCCATCTCAGAGTACGCCCCCATGTCGGGGGTGTCTCTCCTCCACTTTGGCCGTGCGGCCGTGCCAACTCCAGTGCTAACGCTGGGTAACTCTACTGTCTTTCCACTTTTGTCGACGCTGCTTTGTACGCAAGTTCATGTGAACGATTTCGAGTTTGACGAACGGGAGAAGCCGCCGCCACATCTGTAAGCACGCCGGCCGAACCATTTCCACCAGTGTGTCTACTTTATTCTTTGGCGTCAGGACCTGTGGTAACATTCTACTGCACTGTCGCTCACTGCTCGGACTGCTCTCTCGCGGTGGTTGTGGACTGTGCGATGACGCAGTTATGACTTGTTTCAGCGAATCAGCACAAGATTTTGACGCTACCCCCGCCCACTGGGGGCGGGACTTACCATGGGTCGTGAATGCTACTTAGGTTTTGTCCCATGCTCTATCCATCCCCACCCTGACCCGACCCCGCCAAGCTCTTCTTCAGGTGCTATGAATTTCGTGACAGACAGACAGACAGACAGACAGACAGACAGACAGACAGACAGACAGACACACACACACGGACATAGCCGATTATATTAGTAGGATATCCAGATGACATTGCTTGTCTTGCACAAAGAGTCCTTCAAATGCGCTCCCTGTGCAGGTATATTAGAGCTCATATTGAGCTTCCACACGTTTACCTTCTTAGAGATGGCCACGACTCGTACTTATGAATCATTAGGACCTCAATGATACAGGAGTATGGCACCATGAGGTGGTTATCGCGCCACACCTGTTCAGAAGTCTATTTTTCCACCGGTGCCAGTTGAGGTCCGATATGCGCTTTCTGATAGCAGATCGAAAACACGTTTGGTAACGGCCTTTCATGGGCTACGGGATTCTAGATCGCAGCATTGCTGCTTGCTGACTGACTTTTTAGTGCTCATTCCACTGTTACTGAAGGAGCAGAAGATGGTCAACAAAATCAGCTGCATGGCACGAAGGCTGACGGTTCCTCTGGTTTTTTTTTACTCTTTTTTTTGGTTCTCTTCACTTTTTCTCTCGATCCTCTCCTTGGCGCGGATCGGCGATGGGTTGAGGGGTAGGGGCACTTTGTGCTTTCATTCCGGTTATCCGCAATATCCGCTTTACAAGCCTCACTCCGGTGAAACCTGTGAACCCTTGTGAAGCTGGAGCAAGTTCGTTGACCCCGCTCTGCTTAGGGGTGCATTCTCACTGATTGTCAACGCCATCTATGATATTTCACGGCCAAATGCCTATCCCACTCTGGAAGAGCTCCGACACGAACGGAACATTCTACAGCGCCGGAAGGAATGAAAGACAAGTTTGCCACGCTGGGTCATAATCGTCCGCTCTCCTGAAGCGTCGCACGGAACAGTCGCGCGACGCGAGCACTTGTTGCGCATTGTCGCATACGACAGACGGCTCCTTTCTGTGGCCCGCGTCAAGGGGGGACCGAAGCTACCACCCGTTCTCAAAGACAACATACTTCAGGCGTTTCGCTAGTGCCTGTTTCATTTGTGTTCTCTCAATTACAATTAGATACTGAGAGTGCAGCAGTGGCGCTGAGCAGCAGTTCTGAATGGATCACTATGAATGTTTTGCACGATGCGATTTCCTGTCTTCAATGGTTGATAACGCTTCATTTTTTACTCATGGAGCTCATGCATATGGTCACGAGCACAGTCCATGTGCTAGGCAGAGTTCCTATTGTCTCTAGCGAGTGAGATATAAAATAACTGAATTTTGGATGGCAGATGCGCCATTTGCTCCT